GGAGGAGCTGGAGGAAGTGTCTGGACATTGCTTAGACTGCTGCCCCCGCGACCCGGTCCCGGATAAGCGGAGGAAAATGGATGGATGGATGGTTGTTGCTAAACTTTACAGATGGTCGCTGAAGTCTGCCAATTTATAATCTTTCCATTTGTCTTCGTGCAGATAAACATGACCCATCTGATAAAACACCTGTCATTTGGTAAAGATTATCCCGGCCTCGTCAACCCTCTGGACGGAACAGACGTCACAGCGCCACAGGGTCAGTGATTTCACCTTTACAGTTTTCAACCTTGTAGGTAGCAAGAGCGTTCCAACAAAAGGTTTAGCTGATAAAATCATACCATTTCATTTAGGGTGGAAAATCCCGTTAAAGCCAATGTAATTTACGTTTTGTAAATTTCTTCACCCAAAAAGTTATGACCGTGTGGACTGAAAGAAGGAAGGGCCTTCATTCACTGTACACGTGACCAGTAATATAAGACTATAGGTGTAACAGTGCACATTTACACTGGGCTCTAAACCAGAGCTATGCAGTCACCACTAACGCCGACTTAAGTGGCTAGTTCAACCACTGTTGTACTGCCACTGGATGTGGAGCACTGGAAGAAGAAGATACAGTTTCAGCTTCTGGCTCGGAGGCTGAATTTACCTGCCAAGAGTTTAACCCAAATGAAACCCACAATTTCATTGTCCAGGCAAAATCCAGTTTGACTAAACTTTAGGTTTTGCTGTCAGATCCTCAGGATTTAAAAGTGAGAACTTCTTCTGTACAAAAATACTAGCAATAAAACAAGAGCAACGATTTTAAGTACACACACTAAACAGACCAGAATAAAATGCAGCTGTGTGAGAACTGAGGTTTGTTCAAAGGGAGAAATGTAGTTTTTGACACCTTGGCAAACTTGTGAACAGAGCAGCTTGATGAGTTCTCCGAGGGTTGTTGAAAGGCATTTCAGCTGGTGTAGACGTTGACAAACTAAGAGAAAAGTGTGCTGTGTCTGCTGGTGCGATTGGCATAGACGATAAAAATCAGCTGTGTTTTGTGCGTGTCACTCTGAGCAGGACAATTGTAACACATCCACTCTGAAAACCCATTTGACAAATCTTGGATCTTTATTGACAAAACTAGACTGGGCTTTGAGAGTGCAACAGCATCGAGTGGACAGTGAGCTGAGGTTGTAGTGAATGGAAAAGTCCCATAGCTGTAATGTTGTGACGAGGTGGAGGGCGTCATCCCTCATCCTCCTCAGCAACGGATACCCATCCCGATGGCCATGAAGGTGCCGAAAGTCCCCCCACTCTGCAGCATGGTCTTCCCTACTCCTCCCATCAGCTCCCTGCCACGCATGCCGATCCTAGAGGAAAGAGAGACACTTTCAGTTTTTTATCCTAGAGGAAAGAGAGACACTTTCAGCTTTTATCTGATCTGAACTACAGTCATATTTGAGAGGCTAAATGTGAGAGACCTGGAGCAGTTGGCTAAAGACAGGTGGTCCAAAATTCCAGTAGAGAGGTGTAAGAAACTCACTGATGGTTACAGGAAGTGATTGGTTTCAGTTATTTTGTCCAAAGAGTGGGCTACCAAATATTAAGTTGAAGGTGTCAGTAATTCTGTCCAGTCCATTTCTGGAGTTCTGTGTGGAAGGTATCGGGTTTGGTTTGGTTTCTGATTTTTTTTTTGTGTGTGTGTTGTGCAAACAGAAGAAATAAATAATTTGTGATTGCAACAATTTTCTGGGAGAAGTGGTGCATTATCTGAAAGACATGCAGGGATGCCAGTAGCTTTGGCCATGTCTGCAGCTCACACTGGCCCTGGGACTGTAGCTACTGGTGTTAATGGAAAATCACCCTATTCAGTTACATATACAAATATACAGTAGTTTTTCTATAAAAGTTTATAGTTTGAGTATACATTGAGTTACCTGAGACAGGAGAAAGTGCCAAACATGGCACCAGCAGCCATCCCTACTGCAAACCCCATCATGAAGCCCATCTTGACTCGATCAAAACAGTTGGGTTGAGTCTGGCCATATGGACCAACAGCCACTGGCATCTAGGGAGGCCAGAGACACAGGATATGTTCAGTGTGGTGTTAACAGTTTACAAAAATACTCAGCAATAAACATCCCTACATGGTGCAGAGCCAGATGACACCCTGATCCAGTTGAGCTTGGTTCACCTGTACACAACTACTTAACTATGGTCCAAAAAACGTGAAGTGATGCCCGGGCTGTAATTCATTGTTCATGCTGAAGCTTAATCACCAGATAAAAAAAAAAAAAATAAAAAAATACATGGAAGCTGTAATTAAATGCTGCCAAGTCCATATTACTGTGTATGTACTATGTAGTAATATTTAGAGTATGCAGTTTTTGCTGTTAGCATACAAAAAAAAAAAAAAAACAACGATGATACAAGGCTGAAACATAAAAAATGTCGTTAACTTTATGCTTTAACACACAGTATGTTTCAGAGGTTTTTCTTCCAGCTGCTTCTACAACGTCTTTGTGTAATGCATCGTGTATCAGTACTGTAAAACCCAAATCCAGCTGTGCATGTCACTCTTCCTGTGTGAACACACTAAATACTCAGTCTGAATTGGTTTTAGGATACGACAAAAGTTCAGTTCTCTGTAATGAGGAAAAACCTACCACTTAAACACACAATTCAAGATTTGGAAACAAACTATAGCTTCCAAAAAGTCTGACATTTGACTTCTGTATAGAGCTGATTATTGAAAAATTAACCAAATGATTCGGTTAAGCGAAGGACTGCTCCCCAGACAAAGTATTTACAGACATTACCTTGGACTGTAGGTAATTATAACAGGCGTTTTTACTGTTTTATGGGCAAAACGAAAAAATAATGGTCGCAACCATTTATAAAGAAAACAGTCATTGTTGTTACCCTGCTTTTAAATCCGCTTGGCACTAATTATTCTATAACAATGTACAACAATCAGTTCACTCCTAGTCAGGTACCGTTGGTCATTTATTTGATTATCGTGCAGGATATTAATGTTACTCTGACTGAAGACTCTTCTGTTTTTTAGTGTAGTTTCTGTTTAACGTTAGGTTAGCTGTTGTTTTAGCATGTAGGCTAAGCAGGTTACCTAGCTAACTCAATTACTTGGCAAACTAGGCTAACCTCGTTTAACCCGTTTGTGTTAACGGTTTTATCTTCATAGCTATTATTTAAGACCAAATAACAACTGTATCTGAGTTCGTCTGTGAACATGAATCCGTTATATCTGTAAAATTCACGCTTTATCGCACCGGGTCGTTTATTGTGCTAGCTTAGCGCGCTAACGTCACCTGCGGCCTTGACAGATAAACACGGCACGTTTTCACTGACAGTTTTCGTCTTTTCCTCAACATATTTTCTATGATTCGTCAGACGTCGACATTACCTTGGATTAAATGTTAAAATGAGGTTGGTCTTCTGGTTCCTAACTGGAAGTTTGTCTTATTTTTTTAGCGTAACGGCGTTTAAATGTCTTTCTGGCAGACCTCCATAACCGGATAAAGGAAGGAGATTGAGGTCGAGGAAGCAAATAAAGAGAAGTAGTAACCTGGAAGAGAAAGAAAACGGCGCCAACCTGTGGTTCATTTTATTACTACTCTTAGTAACAAGAGATTTTACTGACTTCTCTCAGAATTCTGACTTTAATCTTAAAGTCGTAATTCTGAGAAAAGTCAGAATTTATTCTCAGCATTCTGACTTTAATCTTAATGTCAGAACTCTGAGAAAAGTCAGAATTTATTCTCAGCATTCTGATCTTAAATCTTAAAGTCAGAATGCTGAGAATAAATTCTGACTTTTCTCAGAGTTCTGACATTAAGATTAAAGTCAGAATGCTGAGAATAAAGTCAGAATTTTAAGAAAAATTTATGCAGTGGCCCTAATTTAAAAAAAAAGTTATGCAGTGGCCCTAATACTCTTCCGTAAGATTTAAATCATTTAATCAATTCGAGTTTTTTTTAAATTCTTTGTTTTTTTTAATTTAGAGTCGACATATATAGTTAGCACTTTCAGTCTTGACATAAAACTCTATCCATATTTGCTGCTCAGCCGACTTAAAATACAAAAACCCACAAATTAAATTTCTCCCTAATGTTGCAATCTTAGTTACAATCTTGCCTCAAAGCTCCCCATAGGTAAAGTGAGAAATAAAACATCTGGATCAGCACCAAACTTTCTGGATTATTCTGTGGCCCATACCCTACCTCTCTAAAACCTTTCATCCACATCCATTCATTACTTTTTAATCTATGCTGTGAACAAACTAAGAGATGCCAGTAAAAACATGACCTCCTTGGTGGAGGTAATAAGCAGTGCATCCCTGTTCATTAATGTGGAGCTGACACTTTCTGCTCACACTTTCTCAGAGGGAGTACAAATGAAAACCTGTAAAACTGTAGCTCATTTTAAGGTGCCATCTGAGATGAACACAAAAAAAATGACCTGTTTAGGTTTACAGAGGGTCATCTGTTTGATTTTGCCTTTGTTTTTGAATGTATGACTATATTCATATTTTAGTTTAGCATGGTTTTCCCTTGTCTTCACACAGGCTCAATGATGTACCAGTATTTTGTGAAAATCGTCCCTACCATCTATGTGAAAACTGATGGAGAGGTGAGTCCAACATTTGTGCCACTGGAGATCCTGAAGGGACAAGTTGAAAATAAAACCTGTTATATTTGCTATTTACTTTATTAAAGCTGGTTTGTGGACATGAAACAGAATTGTTTACCTTAGATGATATTCAGTAAATAATTTCACATACTTTATGTTGTGTACCATAAAGCAAAATATCAGTTTTTGTCTTGAGTTTCTGTGCTCCACACTCAGGTTTACTGTTTGACTGCACATCCTAAGTCAGTGAATATTTTGTTGTGTTTTTGTTTTTCTAGGTACTAAAAACCAACCAGTTCTCAGTCACCAGACATGAGAAAGTAGCCAACGGGCTGATAGGAGACCAGGGGCTGCCGGGAGTCTTTGTTTTATACGAGCTGTCGCCGATGATGGTGAAATTCACAGAGAAACACAGGTAGGAAATGCTTGGTGAATAAAAGTTGTCAAACTGAGCGCAGTGTGCCATATGTCAGGACTGCCACAAGTTTCTAGAGTGAGATATCTGCTTCAGCTTGTCAGTGCATTTAGAAAATTAACTTGCAGAAACATGGTGAGATAGGGAGCCTGTCACAGTGTCCATGCCAAGTAGGATCACAGCTGATCGCTACAAACGGGGCTGGGCAGCAGCAGAAATCACTCACAGTAAGAATATGTACACAGTGAAGTTTTACATAGTGGAGATGCCAAAGCTCAAGATGTGGAGAAATGTAGTCAAAGAAAACAAACCCCAAGTGTTTTTGGAACAAGAAGATTAGAAAAGTGAACAATATATTGATTTAATAAATTCAAACATACTGTGGGTAAGAGTAATTTAAAATGAAGGTGATTTAACAGGACATTTAAAATAAGAACCATAGTTAACAATGTCAATTTAAGTTACTTCTTATTACTAAATACATCCCGTCTCTCTTTGTTCAGATCATTCACACACTTCCTAACAGGAGTCTGTGCCATTATTGGAGGTGTGTTTACAGGTCAGTGTCTCTATGTGAACATGTCATTTAATGCTGTGGGGTACCTCAGACTACACACTACACTAAAACGTAGATGTATTACAAACCTAAATTAAGTGGATTCATTCTGACACTGTTTTTGTCTGCTCGACTTCTGCAGTGGCTGGTCTGATCGACTCGCTCATCTACCACTCGGCACGAGCCATCCAGAAGAAGATAGAGCTGGGCAAGACATCCTAACAGCGTCCCCCGCCGGCCTCCAATGGCGCAACACGGACTGAGACGCGCACACACACCAAGACAGAAGAAGAGGGACAGTCAGGCAAAGGGAGAAATTTGTTTTTGCTTCCTCTTCTTGTCTTCTGTCAGCAAGAAACAGAGGTTTAAAATCAACCTCTCTCCTCTGTCTGGAGAAGCACTAAAGAGGATTTTATAGGCTTCTTCAAATTTTTTGTCTTCACTGTTAATTTCAGTGCCAACAGGACAGAGTCAGAATCCGATGGCAACAAGAGACTTTATAAGATTCAAGAGAGGACGCCTTAACAGTTCAAACCCAAGGAGCTGCCTCCCCTCCGTCCGTCTTTTCAGCACCAGTCCGTTTGTCAGAGGATCTATGGTGAAGTCTTTGTTCTAGAAGAGTGGGGATGAGAAGGCAGGTGACATTTTAAAGGAATAGGCCACCCAAAATGTTTTGTTTGCTTTTGCCTTATAACCTAATAGATGAAACAAATGTGTCCTGCATTTCTTTATTCTAAATCATGGACGACCTGACAGGACACAGAGGAGTTTGTTTTAAAATTGTATTTCATCATGACCACAAGAAAGTTATTTTGTGATGTCAGTAAAGGTTTATTGACATCATGAAAGAACTGTTTACTTTTGGTGACATTTTATAATTTTCTTATTGTCCACAAATCCCTTGAAAAGACCAAACCAAGTCCAAGTGTTGTCTGTGTATCCAAAGCCTGATTTATTGATTTATCTTCTTCCTCTCTCTTTGCATTGGAGTTCTGGCACCAAACGCTCAGTGTGGTCCAAACACACATCAGTGACATGAGTGACATGTTCCTTCAGCATGCTGAACACACAGTGTAATTTACTTTGGCTCAGTCCCACACACGCACACACACACACACACACACACACACACACTGTCTTGCTGCTGGAAATACTTACTACAGAACCAAATGATTAATCCACTGCTGAAAATAGCCCCAATTAATGCACTATTTCCTGCTGTTTGAGTAACATTTGCATAAACCTAAAGTGGCCAACTGTTTAAAAAAATTATTTAGTCCTTTTTAAACATGAAACTATATTTTTGTGAGCCATTTTTAATGATTTACATCTTTTGGTAAGAACCCAGGGATGAAGTTCATGTACTGAGAGAGTAACATGATTTTGGTTTTGGTCTTTTCATAGGTTATGTTGACAGTACCAGAACCACAAAATACAGCCAATGTTTTAAGTTCTCTACACCTGCACTCTTTGTCTGGAATTTAATCAAAAGTTTAAAAATTAACAACATGTAATTATATTCCATTGCTTGGGGGGAAAAAAGTTCAGATCCAAGTGGGATCTGAAAGGGGCATAAGATCATGAGTATGCTAAACAAGGAGACATTTTGACATTGTGTTGCTGTTGTGTGACAGACACACACGCACTCTCCTCCTCCACAAACATCCTCCTCCTTCTAAAAATGAATCTGGTTCTCCAGGCCTGAAGCTGTGCTGTTGGTTTTAGGTGACGCGTTCCTGAAGAGACTTGAGCTACTTGAAAAAAGCTGATTTTTTTTTTTTTTGTTTTGTTTTTTTGTTTTTTTGAAGCAGCTACAACAGTGACACAATAAAGGCAGATTTATTTAACCACACTTATGCCTGGTTCAGACTACACTTTTTTTCTGTCTGCTACGATGATCACTATGTCAGATTACACAATTATAGAGTGATAAATTCTTGGACAAGGGACATGACTGCACGTTGGTACCCAACAGATCACAGCTGTGTGTTTGTAAAAGCATAAAACACCAGGGGCAAACAGCCCATGGACCTGTCTTAGGGGTCTGGTACAGGAAGACATAGATGTCAGGGTACAGATCCCACCTCCAAGGCTCTGATTGGTTTTGGTTGTAATTACACAAGCACAGCAGCCTGTGTTGTGTCTCCTTCACAGGGGTCTAGAAGTAGCTGTTAAAAAGAAGTGTTTCAAGCCCGTAGTAAAATAAGGTAGCTACTTCACCAGTGAAAGTCACTGTGCTAACATTAGCTGTATCACTGTGATATTCAGTGGAAAACGCTGTGAACAGAAGAACCATCTGTGCTCCTGTTGGTCATTGGTGCCTCATCTCGTCGTAGACGATGTAAAAAATTCTGACGTGCTAGACTTTGTGCTGGGACATCGTGAGGTATCCCAGATGTAGAATCGGTTTGTTGTTTACGATGACACAGTATATAAAGTAAAACGATTGATTGTCACCTCTGACACCATTTGTCGGTTCAGTCATGTTGGGCTGTTAGCGGGCTTGAATCATGTAGTCTGAACTGGGCATTAGTTTAAAACCATTAGTGTTGGGTTTTTGAGTTTGTAGAAAAATTAGGTGATCCTGATGGAGGCTGGTGTCGTCTGTGTGTGTCCCCCCCGACTGTGTGCAGTTGTTTAGACTGAACTGACATTTTTGTGTGTCCATCGTGTCCCTGTCTCATCACAGACACTGGTGATGCAGGTCCACCTGGTCAATACAAACTTTGAACAAACCTCAACTTGATGCAGACGTTGGGTAAAACGCGTCCGTCGTTTTCATCAATGCTTGAGGTTTCAGGAGCTGTTAGCAGTAGCGGTTCACCAGACACAGTGAAGTTAGCATTTGCCATGTTGAGATGGGAGTTGTTATTTCTGTGTGTTGACTCACGATGACCTATTTTCATGCCAATGTTTTGTTGCCATTTTATAGGCTCTGGCACAGGAAGACAGTGTTCCCATTTTAAATACCACCTTCAAAGCTCTGATTGGTTTGGTTGTGATTACAAACGGGAACGGCTGTCGGTGATCACAACACCAGAGCTATATGAGTTACTGAAAAAGCCTGAGATGTGTGCAGCACTTTAGATGTGTGGAACCAGGCTAAACCAGTGCTTTGTTTGGAGGATACCAGGCTCCTATGTTTTCAAATCCTTTACATAAGGTGTGTTTCCACCAGAGTTCCTGGTACTTCCTGTTCCCAGGAACTAAAATCTAAGAACATTCCCTGGGGTAAAAGTCTCTTGAGCACATTGTGACCTGATTACCACAGCGGGGCCAAAGCCCCTGGCAGATTAAACACATTGCCCTTTGACATAAAAGTGTGTGTGTGTGTGTGCACAGGAGCGGGCTGAACACCACATGTAAAGTGCTGCATGCTGTCTGACCAATCAGCTTGCTCAGCAGCAGGTTCCTGTTTCCTGGAGAAAGTTTCTTTTTTGGAAAGGTGGCTTGAAAAAAAGGTTTTAAGATGGAATCAGTGACATCAGAAGCCGAAGGTGGAAGGCCTGCAGTGTGCCTGGAGCCACAGTCGGTACTGTTCAGTGCTTTAAGGGTCAGCTGGGAACAAACCAAGCAGCTGCAGCCAATGTTTGCATCATGTGGATTAGTGTCTTTAGCTCTGTGGGTTGGACCAAGAGTACGAAGACGAAGCTTGACCACCTCGGTGTCTGCCTCTCTTCCTCTGCTCTGCATCCACCTTCACCTGCACACAATGTTTTAAATTGATTGCCACCAGAAAATGAATGTGTTCAGGTGCTATCTTAGGAGAAATGATCCCTTTTCCTGGCTCGTTCCTGAACATGATCATGCAGCGATTTGCTAATGAACTCGCATATGATTTTAGCTCCTGTTCTTTTTTGTTTTCAGGAGTGTAAACACTGTACAAACGTCCATCACTGCTCCAGAGAAGGGAAGGAAACGACTAAACATGAAATGAATCCCACCCAGTGGAGTGTTGGACTGTGTCAGTGTTTAAAAACTCACACATGTTAAACAGAAACGTCTAGGAGAAAAGGCTCCTTCTGTTCTGCTTTTCGTTCTTTTACTCTGAGATCATTCAACATACTCTGCTCTTTAATTATATGCTTTTTTTTGTTTTTAGTGTGTGGGAGTTGGGAATATCAGAGGATAGTAACACAGCCATTAGCTTCACATGGCAGCCCTGCTGAGGTGACCCTGTGCATCTTTCACAGTGTCTGTCTCGTCCAGAAATGTTGGTCTGTAAATGACAAGGCCAGTGGGGAGGCAGCAGAAACCACCACACCACAAAATGACAGTGTTGAAATGCATTGCTGATTGTGACTTTGTTCCTGACTCACATGTTGAGTCACCGTATGAGACCCAGATGTTTGTACCAGTTTGATCTTCACCCTGTGTTTATTTTTGATCGTCCTGAGTGTTAGACAGACAGCAGCAGATGCCGGCGTGAGACCACACTGGTGCTCCCACAGCTCATTCACTACACCTCGAGGCGTACTTAACATCACTGCAGACCAGTTTCACAAGCACACCATCAGTTTGGTGTATTGAGCCTTTGGTTTCAGTTCATGTCTGCATGTTGAGGGAATCGATTTACAGTCCAGGCAGTCAGACCTTACAGCACCGGACCAAACTACTTTTTACATTTCTACGATGCTTGTTCCCATTTGACTCGACAGGACTTAATGAGATGGTCTTAAAAGAGTGTGAAAGTGTGGGTTCATTCTGAATCTGAGAACGAAACTTGTGGCAGTTGCGCCTCCACAAATAGTAGTATTATTAGTATTAGTATAAGTATTTTGGCTGTGAAGAGACGTGTTGATGATCATAAATACCAAAAGTCCTCTCTGTGTTTAAAAGGCTTCTGAAATCTGGATGTTGCCGTTTGGTTGTGATATTTGCTGATGACTCTATTGATGGTTGTTGCACCTTTTAACATTAAATCAGGGGCAGCGGTTGTGTGTGTGTGTGTGTGTGTGTGTGTGTGTGTGTTCTGACGCCAGCTGCAGTGTGTGTGAGTGTGAGCGTGAGAGAGAAATGTATTTATATTTTGATTGTCCTCAGACAGTTTTTAAAATGACACAAAATAAATGTTGAATACAGCTTCAGTCGTCCGCCTGCACTTTTTCTTGGATTTTTGAGTTGGATCAGAATTTGTTTGTTTAAATTATGTTTTACAAACTAGTTGCCATTGAGATAACTATGGTGAACTACTGTACATGCAATTAAACTGGTAGTTTACATTTTTGCTGGTAGTTCAACTACATTAATATCTACATAGTGATTGAAGTAGTTAAGTTTCTTTTTGCTATTTTTTGTGGTGTTAATGACTGAAAGTATAAATACTTTTGGGCCATAAAAGGAAAGGAAGGATTTTTTAAATTTTTATTTTACCATTGTGGAACCACCTGTTGGATAACAACTTCGAGAGGCAGCTCATGTGTCGTACAAACGAGACAGGCCTGTTATTTAGACCAGTGTTCAGGCTGTTCACACTATCCAAAAGGGTGGAAGACACTTGCAGTTGTTAAGGTTACAGGTTACAAAACCGACAACAGTAAGGCAACAGTTGTGAGTTTAATATTTTTTTCTTTACTGTTTTAGTTGTAGTTCAACTTCTTACAGTGTGCAGTAAGTGGTAGCTTCCTCACCACTGAGGGCACAGATGATTGTTAGCAGCAGTTATTCTAGCAGGGTAACATCAGTCTGCTCAAAATGTGAATCAACGTCAAGTCACTGTCACAGTCAACTGTGACTCAGTTCTTTGTTTTCAGGATGGCCTGAAGCAGTGATGTGAAGAGGCAGGTTTGTGAATTTACTCTCTTTGAAGCAGCACATTTCTCTGCCTTCTTCGCTAGTCCATGTAAATTAACAGGAAATCTATGAAGCACAAAGGTAGGAGCTTGTATTTAATTTTATATTGGTCTAACTCCTGCAGGTTTCTGTTTCATATGAGTTCAGCTCTTCAATAAGTTCCTTTCTTCATTTATTAGCAGCAGTTACATCTGTCACCACTAGATGGCGACGGTATACATCAGACCTGCTAGTACCATTGTCTGTATCTCTATCGATGTGAGGACACTCATTGACTCACAAACTAAATGTTTAACCCAAACCTGATTCTAACCTGAACCCTAGAACCAGGTCTTAACCCTCAGACGTCAGACGGCCCTTTGCAGGAGGCAGTGGGGACCAGATAAAATGGCCTCACATCAATGGTCTAAAACTCAAACCGGTCTTCTATATGTATAGACATACTGTATAAGTGGACACACACAGGAAGTTATTCAAGCCGGCTGTAATTTCATTCAGATGCTCTGGTTTTGTGCGTGTGTGTGTGTGCGTGTGTGTGTGTGTGTCAAAGCCACGTAAAGCTGAGTAGCTCGGCTCTACAGTCCGCAGAGAATGATTTGATACTGGAAATGTAATTATGTCTCTGGGGCATGGTGTTCTCGTAGTGTGTGATTGAGAGAGAGTCCTCACGGCAACAAAAGGACGTCATCAAGTTCATGAAGTTTCTTGAGTTGTTTTACAACCCTGTGTGGGGTCAGCTTCAGATGCAGACGTGGTCCTAGGAGATTTCGATCAGTGACACATTGATATCTGCTTTACACATTTACCCCAGTCTCATTATCTATTTATCTAGATGGTGCATTAAATTTAAAGCATAAAGTAAGAAGTGAAGTTTGTACCCTGACTTCTATGTTCTAGTCATTCAGCCTAGGAGCAGGGATGCTGCTGAGCTGTTGAACCACTATACCAGCTACAGAAGCTAATATTTACATTTTGTGACTAGTCATGAGGTTAGACTTGCCTCTGCAAAGACATGACACTTGCTGTTATACAGTATAGCAGATATAAGACAGTTCTGGCTCTTGTCATGGCTGAGTTATAGGTCATGGCATATAACCAGGGGATAAACTAAGATATGTTTAACTTTTTGCACTGACAGAAGAGACGGGATGCGGTCAATGGTGAAGTCGGGGGATGTACCAAGAGGGTGCGTGTGGGCATTTAAGCCAAATGATGAAGAAACAAACTACAGCATGTGAAGAGAGTCTTGTTAGCTGAGGTGGAGTTAGAAGAGCACTGGTCACAGGTGCTCAGTGTTGCACTAATGTGACGGCTCCACCCCTGCAGGACAATTAGGATAACAAGTAGCAGCATTCAGCTAGGCCACTGGGACAGAAAACAGACCTCATTTCCACATGGTGTTAACATGTGACCTGTATCTGGATGTCTTATCAATACAGGTGTATGCACACCTACTGCACTACAGTCTGAAGACTGTCAGATCGATCAGAACACATCAGGCTTTGCTCTTGTTTGCCAGGTGAAAATACTATCTGTACAATTTGGGAAAAAAAAAAATCCACCTAACAAGATCAAATATCACAAACCAGCTGTCAAAATGAAGTGGAGATGGGAAATTATGACAAAACAACTCTTCTCTCAGGTTTCTGTTAGATACATAGATAATGATGAAAAAACCTGCTGGTTTCTTAAACTGAATTCTGATGTGTTCTGATCCTCATGGTGCAGATTTTCATCGATACCAAAGTGAAACTACCTGTGATGATGTGATTATTTGCTAACCTAATTGCTTTCCAACTAAAACTGCATATTTAGAGACACACCCACCCACACTTTCTAAGTCTGTGTTTGCACGTTTCTCACTGGCTGGTAAAATGTGATCAGCCACAACCCAAGTAGTCTGCATTTGGCCAGCAGGATCCAAGGATCCCCAGAAGTGTTCTTAATTTTACGGAGGATGCTTGAAAAGCTGACTGTGGATGTATTATATTAACTGGCACAGACTCTGGGATGCCGCACAGTGACTGGCCCGGTGCAGTAGCCAGAAAGTTTCTGTCTTTATGGCTGCCCTCCACACTGCTGAAGGACTGTGTGAAGACAGTGCAGGGGACTGGTGTGTCGCTTAATGCACCAGTGAAACATGAAATATGATGCAGAGAGTCCAGTTAGAGTAACAGATTAAGGCATTTATAATACAGACCGGATTTTTTAACTCTTGAAATTCATCATGGCAGCAACTATTTTACTTTTGTCCTGATGATTGCGAGGTAAACTGGAGAACTGTTGCACTCACTCTACAGTGTCGTTCACCAGGAACTGTCAGATGACAAACTGCATCGCAGCCAACTTGAGCCACTACTGCAACTGGCTGCTGGAGAACGCTGGCAGCCACACAGTATGTGAACTATACAAACACCCTGAGACTTAGCTGAGTGGACCTTTAAGTTGATCTTATATTGTCAGCTGTGGGAAAGCTGGTGTCCCAAATGGAAACTCTGCACACTCTGTCCCCCGATTCTCGCCTTGCCAAGTACGAACTCCCGATGCAAGCCTTCATTTGCTTTGGTGCTTGGATTGTTGTTGAGATCTACAGTGAGGCATGAATCAAAAACAAATTCATAAACACTGATTTGAACAGAACGTTGCCAAACTCCACCGATGTGGGGAGCATTCTTAAGACTTTCACTACCACAGAATTACGATCATCCTTTGGGGTAGAATCTGTAAGACTGGAGTCATTTCCCGTCCTGGAAGCCTCCCTCCAGCTTCCAGCAGGCTGACGTACTTACTGGCACTGGTATATAAACAAATGAGATAAGATAAAGAACGTCTCCCACTTCTGCTCCCACTGACCCTTTCTTCTCTCAAAGCTTTTTCTCAGTCATCCATCTTCACTAACTTGTTCAGATGGAGGTTTGTCTGTGATCTTAAATCATCTGGTTATTGTCTCTATTAGTAATAAAACAATCAACATTCCTGGAAGAGTTTCTACTGTGCTCCGGTCGACACCGTCTTCACTGACAATTCAGTTTACAGCAAGAGAAACTCACCACCATCACTGCTCAGTAACAATCATACTATGAAATCATGCTGCAGTTAAAGTATTGTTACCGGGTTTAGTCACATTTCATTTGCACAGTATTGCCAATCACTTTGAACAGGAATGGGCATTATCCAGTTGGTGAATACAGTGTGATTGCTCCTGATTGTCATCAGTTGGTAAAGGCTGGGAATGTGAAGCAGGAAATTCCCAAACTATCTGCCAGCAGTTAACCTGGATAATATACTTTCATTATTTCTGATTAGTTTGATTTGATTTATTCTTTCAAGCATGTAAAACAGTTGATATGACAACACACATAATTTTACACATAATCCAATATCAATGTGCTTATACCTAGTACATGCTTGAATGGAGTAGGAAGAAGTCAGACTTATCCAGTCCTACCCCATGACATCATCTTACCATCATTGGTTTGCAAGCAGTAAATGATTCACTTCTACGCACACACATATTATACTAAAAAAAGATTATAACAGTGTTAACATTCTTACATCACACAAGTAATATACTAAAGAAT